AAAGAGAAAAATATAGAGATAGAAAACATTGAAAGAAAACAATAACAAGCTGGAAGATAATGATGATGATGTTGATGATGATGATTAAAGAACTGATTCATGCAAAAGACGTCCAGAAAGCGAGAATAGACGAAAAAGAAGACAAAAAAAGAAAAACGCAGGAAAAAGAAAAAATAATGGTGATGATGATAATGATGATGGTGGTGGTGGTGGTGGTGATGACGATGACAATGACGATGACGACGAAGACGACTTCGACGACGATGATGATGATGAAGATGATGATGATGATGATGATGACGACGACGATGATAATGATGATGATGACGATGATCATGATCATGATGACGACAACGACGACGACGAAGACGACAATGATGATGATGATGATGATGATGATGATGACGATGATGATGATGATGTTGATGAAGCAAGAGGTGGAGGCGGAGGAGGGGAAGAACTCGAGAAAGAGACGACTTGGAAAGATGATGGTATGGAACAAACTTACATCTGCCCCATGATAGAGGTAACCGCTTCTGTTTGCCAACTGGCTATCATGCCATCGGTGAGTGGCGTTGTTGAACTCGCACTTTTTTGTACTCTCTTGATAATTGACACTCACACAATTGTATTCAAAGAAGCAATGAAGCTTGCAGTTCTCAAAATCAGCAACAATTTTATTTCCTATAGTGTGGTTCACCAAACGCTTGCTAATGAAAAAGAACGATCCTGGAAAGGTCAGTATGCGACAGTTACCTGAAAAAGAACGAACAGTCATCTTGGCGCTTACATCAACAATCTCCGCAAATACTCTCTCAAAAAGTCTCTGGTTCAGAAAAAAACATACTGAATAGGTGTTTTTTTAGTTTCTTGATAAAAACGTAAAGTTTAATAAGTTTAGCTCCAATTATTGATATTTTGCTTGTGTCTTTCGGCACCGATCTCATTAGAAATTTCCATGATTACACATGTACATAAAGACGCCTGCCACGCAGGCTAGTTTTTGCAAGGTCACACTTTTTGTTTTTATATTTATCGATCATTATTAATTAATAAACCTCGGATCAGTGTGGCATTTGTTCAGGATATCCGTAATTTTTTGGAAAAGTGAAAAACGTTTTGAGGTCTCTACTTTCGAAGGGTCGTTATTTTCGGGGTATTGCTACTTAATTTCGGGAAGCTGTGCATGACATTTTATCCCCACTTTCGGAGGTTCGCTATACTTTCGAGGGGTCCTTACTTTCTGGTAGACTTTCCATGGGGTCTGTATAATGCATAAACTCTCCCGACTGGAATTTTAAATTACAATATTATTGATTGAAAAAGAAACAAACATGAACACCTGCTTTTTTACTTTCAAAAGGGACGAAAAAATTTGGCGCTATTCTGCTTTTCGATAATTACCTTGTTCCATGCAGTGAAAGTCAAGAAAAGGTAGCTTTCTTTTCTCGTCGAAGCCATCGCAAGTAAGCGTGGTTTCTTGAAGTCAGGGGCACCCAACGAGAATATAGTTCAAAACCACTTAAACATAACATTGTTAAACGTATTTTAGTATTTAAACGGTAGATATAGGCATATATTTATCCCCTAGAAATTTTCCATCTGTTCGGATTTCCTAGCTGAAAGTCTAGTGATCCGAAAATTAAAGGGATCAAAACTTACCTTTTCGAAAATTTCAGCCAGAAAAAAGGCTCCCGAAAATTCTAGGTGACCTTTTAAGGGGAAAAATCCCTTAAAAATGGGCAATTATACCATTTTTTATTAGATGTTCGAAAATCCTAGGAGAGGCAGGCAAGCAAGAAATTTTACAAGAAATGTTCCGAAAATTCTAGATCGCAAATCGTCTTCCGAACAGATATTTTCCGAAAATTGTTGTTGGGTGACCCTGTGTATTGTGCATGTATGTTCCAATAATAAAAGAAAACTAAGTTCTCCTTTGTATACCATGTACATAGAACGTACAAACGATGATAAAAAATGTTAACATCGAACTAAATGAAATAAAGAAATAAAGACGTGCACATTGAATACATTTCGAAAAGGAAAACTGACGTTATGTTGGTAGAGAGATCTTTCAATCTATGAAAAAGATTGAGTAACAAAACCGGTTTATTTGAAGGAGGTCGTTTTGCTATTTTATAGTATCCTCTCCCCTCCGGAAATATAATAGTATCAGACCCTGTATCATGTTTTCTGTCTCGGCAATTTGCTGTATGAAGCTGGGCTATGTTTTAAGTTTTAACAGTGCCGGCGCACGTTAACCCGTATGTTGGAAGTGATTTCCATCAGGTGAAAGGGAACTGACAGTGTCTGGAAGGTAATGTTGAATCGTTTAGTGTGCTGATTCTAAGCGTTACAAACCTTGCTGACGGCCGCCTCAACCCCGGGCCTTAACGTATTTTTTTTTAAATTGAACGCTTCTATAACATGAAAATGATTATTTTTTTCCCATAATCTTATTCGCAGTACCTATATACATTATTTGAACATGCAGAGTATGTCTTAAACTTATATAATATTTTGTTTTAAATGTAAAACTGGCGCAGTTTCATAGTGTCATTGAAGTTTTTCTGTTTTAAAATCTTTCAATTCTATTCAAAGACGGCCTTGCATCTCTAACAGGCCCTGACCCAGCTAGAACGAATAGATCACACGCGAGAGATTTCCGTCTTTGACCATATACATACAGAAGTCGGAAACCTTGTAAGATTGGACCGGCTAGAGCACTTACCTNTGAAAATGATTATTTTTTTCCCATAATCTTATTCGCAGTACCTATATACATTATTTGAACATGCAGAGTATGTCTTAAACTTATATAATATTTTGTTTTAAATGTAAAACTGGCGCAGTTTCATAGTGTCTTTGAAGTTTTTCTGTTTTAAAATCTTTCAATTCTATTCAAAGACGGCCTTGCATCTCTAACAGGCCCTGACCCAGCTAGAACGAATAGATCACACGCGAGAGATTTCCGTCTTTGACCATATACATACAGAAGTCGGAAACCTTGTAAGATTGGACCGGCTAGAGCACTTACCTTCAATGTCGGAAAACACAACCTTGATAAAAAATAACCAGAAGCAGAAAGCGCTTACTTGAACTGGAATATCCATGTTCTCTTCTTTCCCTTGACCACAAGTTGTGCAAAAGATGACAAAATTTACGTCATGCAATGCAAATTTACGGTTCAAGAGGCAATTCATCGATAACTTACTTTGAATTGTCCCATTAAAAACAAAGCGCGGAATATTTTAAGATCAGTGCCCCAGCAGTACTATGGTTTGAAAACAATTCCCTGCTTTTTTTAGGCCAGGTGGCTCACTGGACTGATTTTCTCAGTGAGCAAATCTAAGTTTTCGCGATGTTAATGGAAATTTAATTTAGCTACTTCATTACATCATGATAATGTAGTTTGAGGCAGCGAATCTCCGATCAGCAGGATCAGCAATCACGAATAAGTAGAGAGAATGAGCTCTTGACCTTAAACCCTTGAAAAATAAAACAAACAAACAAACAAACAAAAACAATTAAGAGATGCGCACCTGCTTAAATCGAATATTGATAAGTTACCTTTTAAACTTCATGAGCAAACTAACGCTAACCAGAGTTAAACCTTTTTTAACCTTCTTGATTTTGGGTCAAAACTAATTATTTTTTAAGAACTTGGTGAACATGTAGCATCAAAATGGACCAAAAATAATGTCTAGGTGCGCATGCCTAGTTGGTACGTTTGCTTTTAGTACGCGTGCTTCAGTGCTTTCTTCTTTGTGTAGGTCGCTTGATCAGGTTTTTAGCCTTTCAACTTTGGGTGCGGCCATCTTGCCAAAGTGTTAAACAAGGAATTTGGTCGAAACTGAATTTTTTTTTTTTAAAAATCGATGTACAAATAATGTTTAGGTATGTTTTAGGAGGTTGAAAAAGTTAAAAAGGCAACCTCAGCTTTTAGAGAAACTGGATAATCTATTTTTCGCACAGGGTAACCCAAGCTCAATATGAGAGTCTTACGGGTCAAAATAATTGAAGTTTGTATTGCAAATAAAACTTACATCAAATAAATGAAATGAAACGGGTAAAAGTTATCAATTAAGTATAGACATTGTTTCTCGGTATCGTTGGTTTTATTTCTAACCGTACTTACAGCGCGATTTGTGCAGTTTTTGCGGATTTCACCGGTAGTTTAGATGATGGTACGCAGCGCGAGTGGAGCTGAAACTTCATAGAAAGAAAAGTTGAGTAACAATATTTAAACTTTATTAATCACTTTTATCCGTTCTAGCTTATTTATTTGATGTAAGTTTAATTACCCATACAAACTCTCGTATTGCCTTTAATATCACCCCCTCACTTACTGCGCAAAAAAAGAAAAATCATGAGTCACATTTCACGGGTATTTCATTTCGCGATTTTTCCCAAAATAAAACGCGAAGATCGGGAATTCGCGGGAAAACTAGTGTCGCGAGGATTCTGGGAACGAGAACCCAACGCGTTGCAATGGAAGCCATGATCGTCGAGTGCTAATGGAAAATGCTACATTTTGTGCTCAAGACCTTGCGAAAAAAGGACTTTTTTATGATTGCTACCTTTGGAAATGTTTCTTCCCTCGTTCTGTGTCATTTTTTGACAAACTTATTCACCGGTATAACTGCAAGTCGTTGGAATGTTGACCACGTTTTTAGCTGTACCACAACGTTGCTTTAAAAGGATTTGGCTATTGCAATGTATACAGGTAACAACTGCTTAGAAATTTTCGTTGCTTTGTTTAGAAAGAAAATCTTTGGTAAGATTTCCCTATAACCTCATACATGCCTGAATTCTTTGGCTCTGTGTATGCATAGTGGGCTCAAGTGTAAGCTTATGTATCGGGTTATACGGAAATCTTACCATTTATATCATTAGTTGTTTTCTGTTAAGAAGAGGATTCCCTACCTGAAAGTCTTGTTAACGTAAATAAGATGCTTTTCGCTACAATCTTCAGTGCTGTACATATAAATATTATCTTAGGCCCAATTCAAATGTTGAAGTTTTCATGTACCATGTTTAAGTTTTCATTTAAGTACATGAACAGAGAGACGTTTGAAGCAATTAAGGCCGACGTATCTAATTTGGGTCAACCCATAAATTAAGTTTGAGTGGCCCACATGGGAATGTTGATTGTGGAGCGCCTTCATTTCAAACATCAAACTTCTTATTGTGCTGAACCTAATGCACAAATTACTGGTAAGCATTGCGGACCATTGTACATTTTGAAAATGAATTATTAGTCCCACTAATTTATTTTGACGTCTGAATCAACCATCAGACTTGTATCATTTGGGTTGACTGCTGACTGACATATACTTTGACCTACCACTAAAACTGCTGCTTACCAAGGAGCTTGAGAAATCTCTGGGTCATACTCTGGAATTGAGATTGGTCCAGTTTATCCACATATACAGAGAAGCTAGAGTAACAAATAACCTACCGAAAGTACAAAAATTTATTTTAAAGTGAGTAATTTCTGAAAGAACAATACTAATTTTGTAAAAGTTTAATACAAATTTCATCTCATCCAATCAGTATTTTGCATTGCTTTTCTATGCATAAATTCAAATTCCTGAGATGTGACTGCAAACTCTTTTATTTTCCCATGCCCCACTCTCAGAACCCCACTTAAGAGAACTTACTGGAAGGCTAGGAGTTACAAGTAACTAAGAGTTAATCCAACCTCCCAAAAGTAAAATAATTTTATTGATGTTGAAATTAATCGTTCCATGGGTTTTTCAACTTTCGATATGGACCAGTTTGCAAAGAACTTTCTCACTGTTCAGCAGCGCCTACATGTATGGCTGCCAGTTGTGCTTTGCACATGTCCTGTGTTGTGCCTTCATTTTGCAATCTATTTTTTTTTGTCATTGGCAAAATGTGGGCAAATGTTAACTATCTGTTTATCTTACCTTGTGTTTTCCCGGTATGCTACAGACTGGACATTACTGATCCCGTTCTTGGCCCTATCCTCTATTTTTGTTTTTTGCCGGCACAATTTAGAATTAATTTTGGACAGATTTCTGTTTATCATACCTTGTGTCTTCCCTGCATTCTACATGTACATTATTGAGCCTATTCTTGGCTTTGTCTATTTGCGATATTGGATTCCCGTAAAGGGCCGACTGAGGATGGCCTTTTTGGACTAGTTTCTTACAGGGTTCCATTGGCTCCAAGACAATCAATATTATAACCTACACCAGTAGGAAATCCATTTCTGGAGAACTCAGGGTTAACATACAATCATGTACAATCTCTCCTTATGTGTGGAACTTAACTGGCGAGCTGGAAATTAGGGAGAGAGATTGTTCTAAGAGAGGAAGATTAGAGCTAAAAACTTGCTCCTACCTTCATCTGCTTCCCAACAATCCCTATATTATCAGTCTTAAATGGAGCAGACAGGCTTCCCTTGGCACTTCTGAATCACCATCATAGTTCCTAATTATTATTATTGCTATTATTATTATTACGTTCAAGTTTCACAGTACATGTACGTGTGCATGTTTGCAGTACTGGATAGGGAAACCCACTAGGCGCAGCACTGCCAGTACTGATTAAAAACTGTTTGCAAGATATATGTTGAGGTGAGACAGCTGTCTTTTGCAGGGTATAGCTGTGGCACTCAGCTTCAATAGACAGGTCTTTCAGAGCTTTATGGAGGTTGCTCTTTACACATCCCAGCGATCCAACAATGATTGGAATAATTATTACCTGCTTCTGCCATAACCTGGAGAGCTCTATATCCAGGTCTTTATAATGGTCAACCTTCTGCCTGTACTTGCTCTTAATATTGGTGCACAGCTACATCTGTGATTTTTACCCTGGTATGCTCTTTGTCAATTAGTAAAATGTCGGGGCAGCGGCGGTGAATAGCACGGTCAGTGTACATGTTGGAAGTCCCATAGAATTTTGGAAGTTTTCATTTATTATTATGTATTAATGTACATTAAATTACTTAAAATTACAATATCAAACAGTAAACAAATAACACAGATGACAAAAGAGGCAAGCGTGCTGCCTTTGTGTGTTATTTGAGTGTCAACGAAAGTACTAATTGGGGAAACTATATGTTACGTCTCCAACTGGAGATGGGACCGCCATTTTACGTGGTCATCCGAGCCACGCAAAGGTCTAGCCTGTTGCAGTGCAAAGGGAGTACCTTCATTTCTCAGTTATTTTAAGACCCTGAGTATTGGTCCGGCCCCAGGAATCGAACCTGCAGCCTCCCGCTCTGCAGTCAACACGCTCTACCGACTGAGCTACCACTGCCGCTGTTAATAGAACTCTAAATAGAACAATAATGGTAGATAAAGCAAAACAAGATAAAGGAGGTTGTTTCGCCGAGACCTGTTGCGTAATTTCAACTTTGTTTTCAAGATCTTCAAGCTCCTCTTTCTTCCCTTTCTTTTTTATGTCTTCTTTTACCTCTGTCTCATCTCTGTCAACCGAGTTGAGGCCTATTTCCAATAATATTCATCTATGTTACCTTTGGTGGTGTAGATATCTTTTCAATTACTTAGCTGCTTGTTGATTTTGTCTGACACATTCAGCTTTTTCTAAGTTCATTTGAATATCTTGAATCATTTAGATAGCATCCTTGGTGGCATGCTGGAGTGCTTTTCTTCTTTGAAGCTTGAAACATGTGTCTGCTTTTAGCTTAGTTTTAGTGGCATCCTGCAGCTTTTGGGCTATGTTTGATTATGGATGTACAGCACTTGCTTGTCAAATTGAAGCAAAATGCTGGAACACTGTTGTTTATTCTGTTGTTGGCATTGTGTGCATTTTGTTGAATCCTGGCTGATGGTGACTACCCGTGATGGCGAAATTATATTTACAGTGTAATTGGGTACTAGGTGTTGCTTTTGGATGGGGTAGAAAACTTTCTTAAAAAGTTATGGTGATGATGTGTGAACCATCATACTCTGTGTTGCTGAATGAAGCAATAAAAAATTATAAATAGAAATCCTTGAAGGAAAGTCCTTGTGGCTAACAATCCCCTGTTGCTATTTAGGCATTAAATAAGGTAGTGCACACAATAGTTCTTAACTGACAACTGGCTGACACATTACCAGCATGCTGCCAACTGTTGGCAGACAGTTGGCGGAAAAATTTCACATTCAAGAGTTTTAGATCTGAGTTTACCGTGAACCTCTAACTGCAGTTTGCGGTTTCCCATTTGCGGTTCGACGTTCAAACATAATTCGATTTAGATTGACAGTGGATTAAAGAAGTGGATTCTGGTTATTTTTCTATTTAGAAATAGAAGAAAAATCAATCAGTGAAAATAAAAGAAATTCACGGTAACAGTGGGTTATCTAGCAGCAAAGAGCTGTAAATTCTTACATTAGTTCCTCCAGCGGATAGAGGTTCGCGATAAACTCGGATCTAAAACTCTCTATTAGATGGTAAACAACAGTCGGCTGACAGTTTTTCGCAGGAGATGTTCTCACTTTTTCTAATCAATCAATCAATCAATCAATCAATCAATCAATCAATCAATCATTCAATCAGTTATTCAATTAATCAGTCCATCCATCCATCCATTTATTCATCCATCAAATTGTTCATTTCACATTGCAGTCTTATGAAGGAGTAACATGTTCTTGCTAGCTGTTGCAATACTAAAATCCATAATTTATTAATGTCCATTCAAAAAAGGTAGGAAATGATGATAAAACCAATATGAGACTGTCATACATGTATTGTTTGAAAATTATTGTTGAATGAGGCTGACTTTCTGATGCAGACTACATGATTGTTCCACTTGAGATCATCACCAAATAAAATAATCATAAAGTGAGTATTTTTGCATAGAAAGTTGAGTTGAATAATACCCCGTCAAGTACAGCCTGAGGGAGAGATGTTGGAAGGTGATCTCTAAAAACTTTCTAATAGCTCTTTTACTACACTTGGTTGGACTGAACTGAAGACTGTGTTCTTTTAACCAATTGTTGCTGTTGAAACAGCATCTCTTAGGTGGCTTCCCTCATAAGAATGTGCTATTTTTGAGATGGTCATGTCATCCACAAAGTTTCAATGAGAAATGACTTGTCTGGTAGTTTCAAATGATTAATCAACACCTGGAAAGCCAAGCTATTGCCTTTGAGGAACACTAGCTGGAAAACTAAGCCAGCTGTCCGTTAAACATTCATTGATCCAGTTGACTGTAGATGGCTTGATCCCTAGGCTGAAAAGGTTGACTACCAGTAATAAAACAAACAAACAAACACAATAAACAACAACTTTATTTTTATACCGCAGAATGGTTCAGTGAACGGGAGTATCACACACTGGCATGAATACATCTGCTGATAGTGTGAAATTGTGTAAAACACTAAAATAAAATGTGACCTCTCATGCAAAAACGTTTCTTACAGTTTACCATTTTTGCACGGACAGCCTGTTTGTATGCTGTGCATAAGGCCGTTCGAAGGGACCAATCAATTCAAATGGCTCGAGCTATCTGTGCGAAAAAAAATTGTATCCGTTCGAATGGCTCAGGCTATCCATGCAAAAAAAAATTGCAAAAATAAATGTTTAAACAGGTTAAGTTGAAAAAAATTTAAGATAATTTAAAAGACAGAAATGTATCTGTAGCACTAATACTGCTGTACAGAACAAAATAGCAATTTGATCTCACAAAGTTAATGACTGTACATTTGAAAAACAAATTGATATAATGCAGACTCAAAAAGTAAAACAACAGGAAGAGTTAATTGATGTACCAGTAACTAGTTTCAGAAGACTGTTCAATTGTGCTGGCTCTGTCGAGCTATTCTAACATTAATGTGAGTTTAAAAAAAGTTATATTTATGTATGTATGTATGTAACCCATTCGCCCCTGGAGATTTTGCTGAAAAACAAGTTGTAAAGCTAGTCAAGTGGTTTTCTGGTCACTCTCCTGCCAGTAAAAGCCTACCACAAGGCCGTTGACAGGTCATACACTTCCTAGCTTTCTGATCCAGGTGCAAAATATTAGCTTGCGAAGTTTGGGCATGCACAGAAAGCAAAATTTCGGGGTAGTTTTTGGGTTTAAAAGTGACACAGCAGCCTTGACTTTTTCGCTTTCTCTCCTCCCCTTTTTTCGCTAAACTAATCACTGTACGTTGTCTTAAAGAATCAGTAGGAGAATTTGATAAAAGACTTAAGCTTTTTCTTGTAGGTGATCATTTTATGAAGTCTTATTACCTCTCCATTCGGTTTTGTGATGATATTCAGGGAAGAAAATTGATGTTGATCACTCTTAAGACTTTTTAGTCCTTTAAAAAGGGTTAAGAATGGAGCTCATGGCTTCACTTGGAGCCTTTCTATCTGACATACTATTATTTGGTACACTACTATCCATTGTAAATATTATTACCATTTAATGTGTATCGAAAAAGCTAGAAATGATTTTTCAGGAATAGAAAAATGACTCCTTGATCCACCCACTTAGGTTTTCTTGCTTTTAAAATCTAATAGCAGTGAACTATGTATTTATAATACGTCATCGTACCATAGTTATGAGAAGTAAGAACATAATACAAATTTTGGTCTCTAGTGTAATCACAATGTATAACTTGTCAGGTATATAAACGTTTTAGTGTATTTCATTTGAAATACACAAGAAAGAGAAGTAATTTAAGAGAAAACATTTAAAATTTATACTTCTGGCATTTTAGCAATTGGATAATGGTTGGTTTAGGTGGGGGTTCAGGGGGTGTCTACTAAACAAAGACCCAAGACCCAAGACTGAAGACCCAAACCGAAGACCCAGTAATTGTCAGATGCCGAGAGACACAGAAAGGATAGGGTCTTCATTTTGTAGTCTACCCCGGGTCAAACTACAAAGCAAAGACCTTCACTAAAACACTTTGAATAAAAATAATTGTTGTTAAAAAAATTGTTTTGCACAAAGGAATGATTGAAAGCGCAACAGTACACAAAAATTTTCTTGGTGATCATAAAAATTATTGTTTTCTTATGATTTTGGTGTTTCCGGCATAGTTCATTTTTTGTTATTTGAAGTACCCTATGAACTGTGCCGTAATAAGAAAGGTATTGCAATAAGCGAACCCCCCTCCACCTACTCATTTTAAAGGTCCTTAGTTCATACTATTTTGGGAATGAAGTCCTTGAAAAAATGATATTAGTCCCTGAAAAGTCTGATTTTTTCCCAAAAACTTTTGTACGAACCATGTACCTTAGAAGTCTAAAATTATCATGTACATTTACATGTAGCTTTGCTCAATCTTCAATTCCTTTTTTTCTTTTTCAGGCAGAAGAGAATAACCAAAGATTTGTCTTGAACAAGGTTGGAGCAGATCTTCAGGTGTTCATAAGTAGCTCCAACAATTGAGGAGTAGCTTATATATGAAGGACATCATGGCCACAGGAAAGAGATCACAAGTTGCTAGGTTGGTTTGTGAACCTTCATTGGTAATACTCTTATTGGTTACCTACACAGAATTTTAGCAAAAGATTTGGTTCTGGAAATGTTTGCTGACACAGGCTCATGTAGGCTAGGAAGTCATTTACATGTGGCATTGCTTTCGCTAAGATTTCATGGTGCCACTTGGGACATTTTGTGAGGAGGAACCTCTGCGACTCAGAGACAGAAATTCCATACTGATTGTATAGATGGATGTTTACATTATAAATCCGGTAGTCCTTGGGTTCCAAACGCAAATTTGTTCAATTTTTCATTTCTCCTGTCGATTTCAAATGGTTAAATGTTGTGTTCATCTGCAAACAAGCTCCAGCAAAACTCAAATGCTTCTTCTAACGAAGAAAATTATCATTAAAGCTAAGCCAAGGAACGATGGTGTACAATAGCATTGCTAGAACACGTAGTGCATACAATGAGACATGAATAGTCAGGGTTGTCATTGAGAGCCAGGGGCCGGGGATTTTGTCCGGCTACTATGAGTGTGGCCCCCGGCTACTTTTATTGGAAAATAGAAGAAAAATAGAACCAAACAAAATCCCCAGCTGTTTGATTTCCCTGCCTACTTGTTGTATTTACCTGGCAACTTGAAATCTTAGTGACAACCCTGAATAGTTAGCAATTATTGAATGAGGCTGAGTAGGATATGAAGAATTCTGCAGATCGAGGAGGGTGTTATCTACTGAGGCCGAAGACGTAGGCTCCGAGATCTGCAGAATTCTTCATATCCTGCGATAGCCGAATTCAATAATAAACTGCTTTATTATTCATTCAAAATAATTAATTCCAACTTTAAAAACAAGCTAAAAATGCTTACCTCAGTCGATGTTAAGTTCACATCAAAAGTGCATCTTTTTCGGGAAATTTAGCAGATAAAGGTTTCCTCAGGTCTGCAAATATACTCCAACTAGCAGATGTTGTCCATCAAGTTGACTTCTTGCTGTTCTTGCCATGCTTTTAGAGAATATTTCGCCATGAAACGAGTACAATGTCCACCCAACAGTTCCGCCATTTTGTTCAAACAACCAAAACAACTCAACCTCGTCCCCAGGTTTCCTCAGTCAACGGTTCAATATGACTGTTTAATATAACAGTTCAGCAGCTGGTCATGGTGAATTATGCGTGTGCTTTTAGCCAATCAGAATCGGGAAATATTTTGAATGAATAATAAAGGTATTTATTGAATCTAGCCATACATGGTGAATATTACAAATGTACCAGACAGTGTTGCAACAATTTTACTTTAGTACTTGTCTGTACCATTGTAGTTCGATAAAACTATTGTACATTGATGGCTTGTTGCATGGCACAAGTTGCTCTGCCCAAAACAATAACAATTTTCTGGAGCTGTGGCACATCACACACTATTAACTGCGATTTATTGATCCACTGTAAATCTTTACTAAAAGAATGTGACTACTTCATCATCCAATCAGCGCTTATGACCAATTCCGGACAGAATAATTTTTACTTCATCAGTATGGAATTTCTGTCGCTGAGTCGCAGACGTTCCTCACAAAACGTCCCCCAGTGGCAATAAGTGGGGAAAAACGTCTGGTTTTGCAGGCTGGGTAATTGAACAGTTACATGTAAGATCCCCCTTTGGTTTTATTTTACTTTCGTTTGCTATGAGTGTAGTCATGGATTAACGTTATGCCTTTAGAAGGTGGGGAAAATCCTTGGCCTCTGGCCCTTATTGACAGCCCTGTTCTGAGGAACAGCTTGTGTAGGCTTTCCCCCTGAAAAGCAAGTTGTTCTACAGGAAGGTATTTCACCCCACTGTTGTTCCACAACCCTCACTCAGGTGAAATCTTTTGATATTAAAATTAATGTGGCAATTTGTCTTGAACAGGGTGCGGCAGATCTTCAGATGCATATTCATGAGTGGCTCCAATGATGGAGGCGGCTTTGCAAACTAAAGGACATCATTGCCAGAGAAAAGAGGTCACAAGTTCATAGGTTGGTTTGTGACTTTCATTGTTGCTATAACTAGCATTGCAAAGTAGAATGTAGCTTTATCATGATTGTAGCAAATTGGTTGTCATTTTGATTAGGGACCACTCCCAGTTAAATTTGGCGTTTCTGATCATAATATATATCTTACGTCCTCAAATTTACCAGTCTCTGAATGTGATGTGTTTGACCTCATTGAGTAAAACTGTTGTTGTTGTTGTTATTATTATTATTATTATTATTATTATTATTATTATCATCATCATAAATAATTATTTATTTTTTATTTGAATTTTATTGGCACTGTGGTTAAAACTGTGTTCAAAGTTCTGAAGATTTTCAATTAAAACTGACTGTTGGTTAGATCAGACATACAATCTACATTGTGGCTTATGCAGCCATCATCACTAACTGACTGACTTGTTAGCTGCCTGACTGACTAACATACTGACGTACTGGCTTACTGACTGACTTGCTGACTGACTGACTGATTGATTGATTGATTGATTTGCTGTCTGACTGGCTGACTGGCTGGCTGGCTGACTGACGTAGTGGCTGACTGACTGCCTGCCTGAAAGACTGACTGACTGGCCAACTGGCTGATGACTGACTGACTGGCTGGTAGCTTACTGACGCTGACTTACTGACCGACTGACTGTCTTACTGGCTGATGACTGACTGGCTGGCTGAATGACTGACTGAAATAGTGAGTGACTGACTTATTGACTGACTTGCTGACTGACTGACTGACTGACTATCTGGCTGGCTTGTTGACTGACAGACTGATTGACTTGCTGACTGACTGACTGACTGGCCGATTGACTGACTGAATGACCAACTTTCTGAATGATGACAGATGGTCTTTTTGAGACGATCATGGGCAGATTAGTTGATTGTTGCTGACCTGGGCTGCGGACAGGCTGGCCCTCTGACTATTGAGTCCCACGGGGTTTCTTCTCACTGTTTTCCAACAATGAAATGGTTGAAGAATTGATTACTAGTACAGACGTACCAATCGTGACTGAATGACTGATGAAGATCGACCTGTATGGGCCAGTCGAAAAAAAACATAATTTTAATATCTTAGTCTAGGAAGGCTTGTTTTTTTTTTTAACTCGATGCGGTCACCAGACATTTTCTCCAGACCCATTTTGTCCAAAAACAAACTTAGACGAAATTTCCAATTTTTGCTCAAAACATGAGTTAACCCCTGTGAAAAAAATGTACTGTATTTATTTGACTATAAGCCGAGCGATTTTTGCACCAGATTAAACTGGAAACTAGTGAAATCTCTACAAGATAGGGGGTTCGGCTTGTAGCCGAATATTTTGGCAAAAAAAAATTTTCTAATGCTGCAAGAGCTTCAATTAAATGTTTATATTCGGCTATAAGCCGAGCAGTTACCAACAACACAAATTACCGGTAGTTTGCGTACGAAAATCATTGCTGTTGGTCATAAACTTTTATTCAAGTGGTGGCTCCTAAAGGAGCAGTTTTTGTTTTGTTGACTTTAGGAATGAAGTTTTCATTCATCGTCTTCTTCGCTGTCGGTTTCAAACTCGTCCTCCATCGCCATATCATCGTCTGCTAGTTCTGGCATTTCATCAGCGTAGACCTCATCATCTTCGGTGTCGTCAAGAACGTTCGAGATACCTCACGTTTTGAACGATTTCCTCACCATCTCTGCTGGAATTTCTCGGATCACATTAAATTCATCTTACCTGTGATTTGTTGTTATTTTCAGTTAAGTGACCAATAACATTAACATAACATGTGTTATAATGAATATATCAATAAGTGAATATTCATTTTACCATTACATGTTTCCCGAGAGGGACGCTTCTTTTGTTTTACGGTTTGCCGGTATGTTTATTCACTTGCAGTCAAACCAGGTCAAGCGTTCCCATCGCTAACAAACTAATGAATTCATTAATGGAAAAATGATTTCGTTTGTTGATTCAATAATCCATTCATAAAATGAATAATCCAACAGTCAAATATTGTACCTTGATTCAATAATCAAATGTTGATTTGGTTTATGAACAAAATCTACCTGTTCTTTATTCTTTTCTGTTGTGTTCAATCGTATTTGCTTCCCTTTTCCTGCCGTTGACGATTGCGTTTTTCATTGCCTTTAATCAAAATAACAGCTAGAATAGACAGACCGCAAGCGCAAAGAAACTGACAAAGGCCGAGGATCGAAATCCACCAATCACCACACATACACTGACCTCAGTTTGACCGTCGTGTTTTCTAAGAGGTCAGGCCTAGGTCTGTTGCACTGATTATTGGCAGCAAACTGGCGTACATGTAACAGTTTGTTTGGGTTTGAACTTCAGAACTCGCCAGCACTCAATTCTCTGAAAAAAAAGAGGAAAAAACAAAATTCTGAGGTCAACTTGTGGAAAGTGTAATTTTTCAAAAAACAGTAATCGAATCAACATTCGATTATGGAATCGAGGCTAAATATGACTATTGGATTGTTCATTTTATGACTGGATTATTGAATCAACAAACGAAATCATTTTTACGTGAATGAATTCATTAGTTCGTTAGCGACGGGAACGCTTGACCTGGTTTGACTGTAACAGTGCATGTGGAAAAGAAATATTTGATCTCGGCTTATAGCTAGATGTTTTGGGTTTCCATTTCATAATTTCCTAACAGGTTCTGATACCCAAAAGTTTAGGGTCTGGGCTTATAGCCGAGATCGGCTTATAGTCGAATAAATACGGTAAATAATGGCGACTATATAAAATACATAACTTTGTAGTCTAGGACCACACGGCTTTTTTTCTAACTAGATAATTGTCAAACACTACTTCAAGGCCCATTTCATCCTAAAACAAACTAAGAGGAAATTTGCAATTTTTGACCAAAATCCTGGGCTGAA